TCTATAATCAATTATAAATGACGATTCATATGATTTTTGAAAGAAAAAAAACATATAAAGGTTAACAATTCTTTTATATATGATCGTTTCTATCAAATACAGTTGCTAATTGAGCTCCAACTTGTCATTATTTTCTGTTCCACAGAATTAGTTTTGCGTCCACTATTCTCATTCAAACACAAAATTAAACTCTCAAAACCATCTGAAATGTAGCTTTGAAATTATGAAAAAAGAAATACAAAAACAAGTAACAAATCTATACAGCTGCCTAAGATTAACGAGATAGATTATGTTTTGGTAAATAACTTTCTTTTTTAAATGTCTAATATAATCCAACCAAATTATAAAATGGGTTGGGTTTGATCCAAAATTCATTAAAACAAAATAACAAGAGATTGTTGCTGCCCAGGATCGAACTGGGGACCTTTAGTGTGTAAGACTAACGTGATAACCACTACACCACAGCAACCGACTTGTTATGTATATAAATTAACGAGATTTTATTAATTGAAAACTTGAAAAAGGTCTTCGGTAGTGTTTGCAAAGTAATGATGTTCAATCATTTAAATTAATTGCATCAACCACTTCATTAATCATAATGAAATCACAGTAACAAACGCTAATGTCTTCTTTTAAAACACTTTATTAGTTTAAATTTGTTCAAGTTTATAAATTAAAGTAGATCTTCCCTTTCTAATAAATAAATCTCTACCAGATTCATAATTTATCTAAATTTTGACCAGTAACAAATCTAATGTGCTAAAAATTGTATTGCTAACACTCCCAACTGATTCATTCTTCAAGAGGTAGACATAAATTGTTCTAAAATCTTATTCCATATTCAATCTATATCTTAATAAATTATATTTACATTAAAATCCGAATACATTTAATTAGATGAAATTGGTTTGATTTTTTAATTTGTTTTAGTTTAACTTATATCATTAAATCTCTATTAATTCATTTCGAATAATTCAGGAGCTATTAATCATGATAAATTCAAATTAAGTTTTTAAATTAATTTAGTTTTTTTATTATTAAAAAAATAAGATAATTTTTATGATTAAATTGTTAATCTTAAAATAGAATGTAATCATATTTATGCATTGTTTTTTTTTCCTCATTGATTGATTGATTATGTATGCTTCCAACTTTTTTGTCGTTTCAATATCTTTTGTGTCCGTCTATTTTTAATATAATTAATTTATTATTTACTGAATTTTTTATTAATAATTTGTGATGAACAAAACTCGTTTTTAATGTAATGATTAATGATGTTGTAGTTGAGAACGTATCGGTCAAAATTAAGGATGCTCCAATCCAAGCCAACCCAACAACACTTGAATTGTACTTAGAAAAAGATACCTTACAAATCAAATTCAACCCAAACCAATAAAAAATTATCGTAACCAAATTATTCTTTAGCATGCACATTAACTTTGAAATTTACTTAAAAAATACCATCCAATTAACAGGATTGGATTCCTAACAATATAGATATGTTGAAACAGAATGAGAGTAACTTGGATTAGTATAATTATAAAATAGATTTCAATATTTGGATTTGTGTGTTCTCCAAATGGTTTATTACTGAACTCTACTACCCAAAAAAACCTCAGGTCAATTGCTACAAGGTTGTCATAACGTGACTAGTTCAAAGGCACAGCATGTGTGTGTGTGTGAGTGTGAGAGAGAGAGGGAGGAGAGATGTGTGCATAAGAATTGAAGGAGGAAATCCCAAAACAATGTTTTGCACAATTGTGGGCTAATGAACAAAGAACTTGCTATTTGGGTCAAAAACTATATTAGATTGTTGTGTTGCACAGAAAATTGTGAAAAGTTGAGACATCACAAAAGAGGGAGGAGTGGATGATCTATTGAGCTTTACTGGACTTTCTCTTCATTCTGCTAAAAGGTCCAATTGTTCGATCCATGATGTACATGTAAATGACCTGGCTCCAAGATCTGTAGCATGATAAGCTATCATAAAACTCTGGAGCAATCTCCTTCACCAGATGAAGCTTGTTTCCAGGAATTCTTGGGAAATCATGGTGTTCATTGTGGTAGCCCACATGCCAAGTGAGGTAATTCAGAGGTCCATAGTAAGAATATGTTTCCTGATCAGGATTGAACACATAATGCTCTGAAATGAAGTGGCCAGCCATTGGATGCATCCCACCACCAAGAAATGTAGAAAGAATCAAATAAGCAAGCGATTTCCAGCCAAAAAAGTAAACCATTGAGACATCAAGTCCAATCTGAACAGAGAAGTTCACGAACTCCCAACAGCCAGGAGGCTTTGGCTTAAGAAAGAGAGGTCTAAGTGCATAAAAGAATAGCTGTAAAAACACCCAAATGGTTTTTGCAACAACGTTTTTCACAAGATGAACTTCGGTAAGACTGGGGATATCCATGTCAACACCATCTACACCTTGGAACCGGTGGTGCTCCAAGTGATACTTCTGGAAAGTAACAGACATGGGCACACCTATAGGGAGGTTCGCAAATATCCCTAACCAACGGTTCAAGGATGGAGACGAGAAGGCCAGGTTGTGACTCAGCTCATGGATAGCCAAAAACAGATTGTGGTTCAGAAATGACCCAAAAAAGTATGCTACTAAACATATCTTCACCCACCCAGCATCTTTAAGCAAAACACCGGTAGCAAGCTGAAGCAAAACAACTCCACTAATCTGCAACACCACAAGTTAGAAACATTATTAATACCATCCACCTAAACACATTTCAAATCCATATCCCAATCTAATAGCATGCACTGCACACATATCGAAGAGATACCATTTAACAATAGTACACAGCCACTTCTTATAATAAATTGTCAATTCACTAACGGTTAACGAGTTTACATTGCAATCGAATCAAAAGTGTACGTGATAAGTTTGTAGAATTTTACATTGATTGTCTTCAAAGTCATACCTACCAATATTTCAGATTAGTTGACAATGTAAGTTTTCACAGAATCAAATTCACCTTTTTTATTTATTTATTTTGAACAGGAATGAATTGGGGAACTCGGGTTTTCTCAAGAGATCTAAGTCTCATATAGATATATCAACCACATCAATGTAGGATTATGTTCAGCAGAGGCTCAATCTCAGATACAAACATTGTGAAACCAATCGAAATAAGTTAGGAATCCGCCAGCCACACAGGCAATGCCAAGAGAGAAAAAGACAGGAGAAACATTAGATTGGGAAAAATGAAAGAAAATAGATAAGAAAGCAAACAACAGATAATGCGAGCATTGTATAAAAAGAATGACGACAACCCAAAAGCCAAAAACAGATACAACAACAGCATTGGGGAAATGGAAAGGAACCCAGAAAAGAAAAGATCGAGATTGGAATGAAAAACGGGAAAAGGCGAAACCTTGAAGAAAGCGGAGTAGTCGGGGCCAAAGAGTTGCTTGATTTGAGGGTATTTGGAGAGGATCTGACGACGTCGTGAGGCATGGGGTTCGTCGGTGTAGGACCAGAAGAAGCCCCCGGCTACGACACCTTCTTGATCATCTCCTTTACCCATTTTTTTTTCACCCTCTTTCTCTCTCTCTCTTTGATATCTCTTTTTCTCTCTGACTGTAGATGGAAGAACAACGCATATATTTATACGAGGAATGGGAAGGAAACTGGAAAATGGCTAAGAATAGAGGGAACAGACATAACCATTTGTTTGCCCGACACTACAGGCTGGAAAATCAGAGGACTGCCCTGGATTGGATGTAATGCAATGTAACTCAATTAACAAATCTATTTTTGTAATTAACCTTTTCTAAACCTGGTGGGTTATTATTCCTCAACGTTCTTCATCACACGCTTTTCCACCACCATATCAAATTTCAAAATTCATGCGCATATTTAACTTTAAATACCTTCTACCCTTCTTCAACGGCTACAACTATCATGGATTTCAATACCCATTAGTTTAATAAATCTTAATTATTAATAATTTAATTTATTTAATATGTTCGAGATCCAGACCACTTTTTAAATCTTATATTATTGCTAACTCAGTTTTCTTTTATTATTTTTAAATAAAAAAAAATATTATATAAAAAAAAAAAAAAAAAAAAAAAAAATAAAAAAATAAAAAAAAAAAAAAAAAATATATAAAAAAAAAAAAAAAAAAAAAAAAATAAAATAAAAAAAAAAAAAAAAAAAAAAAAAAAAAAAAAAAAAAAAAAAAAAAAAATAAAAAAAAAAAAAAAAAAAAAAAAAAAAAAAAAAAAAAAAAAAAAAAAAAAAAAAAAAAAAAAAAAAAAAAAAAAAAAAATAAAAAAATAAAAAAAAAAAAAAAAAAAAAAAATATATATATATATATATATATACACACACACACACACGAAAGTGACCATTTTACTCTCCACTATATGATTATTCTTTCTAATTTTCATTGATTTGGAAGCATCTAATATGTTTTACTTTCCTTCGGTTTATCAAGCTTTTCACAAAGATGGGGGAATATGCTTTAGAATATTTCGCCTTGCCTTCTTAGTGTTCTTAATATGTACAATAACATGTCCAAAATGAGTGGTTTTACATCCAGAAGTTGTGGTTCTAGCTTGCTTCAATAACAAACGAACACTTCTCCAACAGATGGACAATATTTTTAACTCTTATAATTATAATTTAAAAAAAAAAAACAACTTGCCGCAGGGCAGCTGCTATGAATCAGAAGAGCAGTTGGACTCAAATTTCGAGGAAATTTCATGCTTTTGAACACCCACTTTTTTACAAACTCTTTATTATCTATTAGTTTGAATTTTATGAAAATTACAAAACAATTTGTGGATCTGACAAGCCTTTCTCTCATGATTTTATGGTTTCAGACAAAATGCAATTAATGGTGGAATGAATGCATTAAAGGATATGTTGGTACAATACTAGTGAAGAGAATTGAATCACATTATAGATACTGATTTTGCTCCATTCAAAACAAAATAGGTGGGATCCATGGAAAATGTACTGTTCTGAGACACGGAATATGGAAACAGATCTTTTCTGAACAAGCAATTGAATCTGTACAGGATATACAAAGACAAATGAGCACATACTCATCTTCACCACCAACCCGCAGTAAACTCAGGGTTGGAAACTTTTTTGCAAGACGTGGGAAGCAACACTGCGACTCTATAGACTAAATTTACCAAATGACATTCCGAGTTTATGTTACTAAATTGAAAGGAACTGCCCCTCCAACACCAGACACTGATTAAAACCACTCATCTTAGATGAGAGTCATAAGTGTCAAAAAGAGAGTCTGGAATGATCAAAGGCAACTTATCTATGTACATGAAAAGCCTTTTAAGATTCTCTCTTGTCACTGTTGCCATGTCTACAACATCCCTACCATCAGTGAACACCCAGAGATCGCCTGACTTTACTCTCTTGAGACTGTCACGGCAAAAGGGGCATGACTGTGATCTTGTTCTCCTGCAAAACATCGCAAATACAATGATGTAATTTTGAACTGAACAACAGAACACTCAACCAAAGCACGTACTGGCAGGTAAAATGATGTAAAATAAAATTTCGTGTAGTTAGACATGATGTACAAACATTAAGGCCTTGTTCACTTGAATGGATTTGGAGGAGAGTAATTGAGGGGATTTGAGAGAATTTGAAGATAATTTTTCTTTTTGTTTATTTGAGTGAGTTTGGAAGTAAATGAGAGTGGATTTGGAAGTAAATTTTTTTAATATGTCACGTCAATCAAATCCTGCACTAATTCTCACAAACTTTACTTTCAAATTCATTCTCACTTACCTCCAAATTCACTCAAATAAACAACAACAAAATTTATCCTCAAATCCCCTCAATTACTCTCCCTCAAATCTCTTCAAGTCAACAAGGCCTAAATGAGAATCTGAACACAAGTATGGAGATTTGGTTAAAGAATTAACGAGAGAAAGTCATGTCACACCATAAAAATTAAAAGAGACTTGGAAGAACCATACATAATCTAAGGTGTGGTGAAAGGAGAAATCTTTGGATGAGAAGGAGAACTCATTCTCCGAATTTCATTTCAATTTCACTAAATCAATCAAATCAGTCTTCGGGTTTGTAAAGCTTTATGCTTGCTTCTTTCTTGCATCAAAAGTTTTGACTAAGGTGTGGTGTGGGATAGCAATGATGTTCACTAGACCAGTGTAAAGCTTATTTGTTGTATATATGATTGGCTGTAAATGGGAGACATAACACTTCCCTATGCACTTTTTTCACTTGCAAAGAAAACACCTCGTGACTGAACACTCTTAGAAGATCTCCCAAACACTAAACCAGATTCCTAGATGTGCCAGGTACGAATTCACTTTCAATCCATATGAAGAGTTTAATGAATTTACTTCAGCACATGAAAGGCACTCGTTGAACAATCAAGTTACCACAATCTTTGAATCCTCTTTTCAAAATTGAAAAGGTTAAAGACTAACAAAAAAACAACAGTACACAAAAAGATTCTTAACCTCCTCTCTTTATTACTGAAAACTCGTTACAATCTAAGAACCAAGTTATACAACTACTCTTCCAAAGGAGCTACTCCTTTCCACTGGAATCAGTCCAGTTTTACAACAATAGTCCCCTCTCTACCTAAAGGAGGTTTACTTATAGAGAAAACTGAACTAACTAACTCTCCTAACCTCCTGTTGCTATTTACCCCTTTCTTTTCCTTCTATAATACAACTTTAGTCCCTTTTCCCTTGAAGTTTGTTGCTCTGACTTGATACTAAAATACAACATTGAAGGTTTCACAAAAATGTTTCCCTAAAGCACAATTAAAAAAAAAAACAAACAAATTATCCCTAAAGCGCAAGGTGCAAGATACATGTATATTACTTGGATGGCTTCCCAGTTAGGCACAATACAGAGACCCATTTCATTTTTATTCAAAACATAATACATTATATTTTCCCACCAATTTCAGCACCAGCAACATATCAGAAGAAAAAATATAATACTTGTGGATAACTGCAATTAGAAATCAGGGTCCACCCTCCTATCCCATGAAACATCCAAATAGGAAAAAACTGTCGAAAAACCATAGCATACAAAATTAACTTCTTCACCTGAAGAAATGCAGAGAATACAGGACCATGTAATATTTGGTAAAAAGGCAGTAGTCCATAAACACGTAACCTAGCACCATTTTTACAACTATTGATGTTTACCATAGCTAATGCAATATTGAAATCATTAAGTTCTTTAAAAAACTAATCAAAAGGTAACAGTAAAAACTTGCAGACACCAAAAAATGCACATCTATGGGACAGTGAGATACAAAATAAATAATAATAACATTAATCTGCCACGTGTAAAAAAACATTTTAAATCAAAAAGATAAATAAGTGTTAAACTATCACATAAAATATAAGCATGCATACAGAAGAATAGAAAAACATAAAAAAAAAATGAGTGAATGTGCCTGTTAGTTCAAGTGGTGGCCAACATTTTGAAATTAAAACCTGAAAGTTTTTAATGGCTGAGTTTTGCCAAATACAATATCTTAAATCAAGTACTTGCTAAGAGCACCTTTGCTATGAGGCATAATCACCCTTAAATTCAAGTAGCTGAACCTCATAGAAGAAGGTATTGGACCCTTTCCATACAATGCCTTTGCACCTTTTTGTGTCTTTTAACATTTTCACTCTTCAATTCTACCTATCACAATAGTCTAGTGGACTCTAGAACTAATTGGTTCAGAGCCTTGGTCTTAGCTTGCATAGAAACAAATGAGTATCTGATGCAGTACAAAGACAGAGGTAGCCTTTCTTTAAAAAAAGATACCAGTACGACAGTATAAATAATTAAAATGTGTACATTCATAACTAAAATAAAATTTATTCACACCTAATCTGTTTGAACGCACAGTACATGTATCACATATTAAAATGAATTTAATATTCATAGGGAGTCCATTCATTTACTCTTAGCATACTCAAAGAACCATTTCCGTTCTCTAAAACCTCACTGAATTTTTTTCTTCTACATTTAGCAACTTCATTGTATATCTCCTCCTAAATTCAACATGATCATCCGATCCCAACTTATATTAATGCACTTTCCCTCCTCCAAGTTCCTGCGTAATAACTTTTAGGTTGACAAGTACTTTGAGGGCTACATGCATACTAACAATGCAAATTCAAGTTTACTATATTAGTATTAGTATCAGTTATGAATACGATACAAATACCTCACTTCTGAAATATCAATACATCATAAACTAAGAATCTATGAATATAGAATATAACCAGCTTTCACAGCTACATATTATAGACATAACAGCTGTAACCAACTTCTCTTTAATTCATTCCCATATCTGCTACTTTTTAATTGAATACTTATATTAAGAGCAATAACAGAATAATGAGAATTGAAAATCCCTACCTATATACAGACACACACAAATGTATATAGTGCCTTTTATTGCATCACATCCGCAGACACAGAATTCTAAAACCAGGTCACTTGTGGTGAGACTGATTCTAGATATTTATTGTGATCCAGAAATTGGGATAATAAAAGAAATAATTTTTCCAAGAAGATTGGCTAAAAATTTATTGTAAAAACAGTAGCTTTGCTCAGCAGATAATGGAATACTGCAGTCCTTTTTTAGGTTGTGTACTTTTATCATTACACCAAAACGGGGGAGCCGAATGAGATGAAAATCTCAAGTAAGGTTCGGGAAGAGGTTCTTTGAACCAAATGACAGCCATAACAGAGGTCAGCTCAATATGAAGGAAATTATGTGAAAGCTCTGTTAGTCTATTACACTACTTGCAAAGGCTGCTATGGAAGAAACCATCTTACTTAACATCGTCAAAAAATTATGGTCGAAGCAAACTGAGCAAATCCAAAATCTACAAAAAACCCAAGCAGATTCGACAAATTACAGTTTATAGAAGTGACACTTTATGCAACACAGTTCCACTTAGTAGGCATGAAACTAAAAGAACCAAACAAAAAGCTACCATAAAACATTTTCCAAGAGAAGTAGAGAGAATCTAGAAGTAGAAGAAACAGCCTCACAATTTCATACTTCTTAACATGAACAATTCATGACCATAAACGACGAAATGTGAGCATCAGCGAGAGAAAGTACCATTCGTGGTAACATTTCAGGCACATGACATGGTTGCAGTCGGGTAACACAATCTTACTGTTCATCTCCATGCATATTCCACATTCCTCTTCCCTTTCAATGTCTATATCCGAAGGCTGTCTGTGCTCATCTTCGTCTCTTTTCCGATACCTCTCCAAGCATACAGCCTTCTGTTTTTTATCCTCTGTATCAGTTACACCTTTTTGCAGTTGCAACAATGAGGGATATATGACCGCTGATCAATGCAGAAATTCAGTACATAGGCAATTCAAATAGACTAAATGCAGATGAACTTGCTAGTTATTACATAGAAAGGTATAAATATACCATAGAATTCTCTAATACTTGCTTTCCTTTCATGGGTAGACATGGTAGTTGTCCCATCTACATAAACCTGAAGCGAGAGGAAAATTTGTCAGTTGTCACCTTGACCAAATTTCTGAGTTTAATACGAACATCCAAAACCCAAAACGCCTTGGACCATACCTTGTATATTAGGATTCTTAACAATCCTAGGGCCCCGGCAAGATTGCAATCTGTCCATTGTACCAAAAAGAGAAATAGGTGTGCTGCCATACTGTATGACATTCTCATTTGAAGGCATGCACCGTCATATTCCCTTGGAAAATCTGATGCCCTGCACACCCAATTGCGTATAAAGTGATAAATATAAGCAAGAAGAATGGCTGGCGACATGGGAAAAAATGCAACGTTCCATTGGACACCATTCAGAGCTCAAGTATGTTATCTGTAGCCTGTCTAGACAAGTTTCTCTAAAGGCTCATCATAAACACAGCAAACTTCAAAATACTGAATCATAAAAGGAAAAAAAACACACACAAGCAACTAGGCAGCATGGCGCTGTCGCAGAAAAAGATAATGCACTGCATATCAGATGTCAGGAAGAAATAAATCGTGATAAAAAATAATCGTGCATTATTTGATAGTCAACCAAATCACTCGAGAGACCATCCAACCCCTGCCAAAGGGTCAAAATGCCATACATATGACAGGAGAAAAATATTGTCACTATAGACACAAACAAAACAAATAAACGAAACAGTGAAAGCAATAACAAATTCTCTTCTCGTAACCACACAAATCAAGCATAACGAAAGCCCAGATTGTCAAACTTTTGGGCACAATATACAGGACGAAACAGTAAAATACAGTCATTTAGAAAATTAAAAACCAGAAGTTACTCGTAAATATAATGTCACTAACAAGCAAACAAGCCAGATGAAGAACTCCACCAAAGGTTTCCCTGTTTGTTAGGTCCGGGTTCCTGAAGTACTAAAATTTCCACAAGTGCAGATAACGGAAATTGTAAATTACATGAACGATGTATTTGCAGCAAAATTAAATGCTCAATATTTTTATCAACGAAAATTGACGGTTGACTGAGAAGGAAAGCAAAAATCAGAGGATAAACCCCAGAGAATCATTCCCTATACCAAAATAAACTTCACTCGTGATCATGATCCAATTATGAAATAAAATAAAAAAAACACTATTTTTCAGAAAAGATAAATGAAGGGTGTCTGAGTCTACCATATTAAAAAAATGCAAACTTGATCACAACAACGTGTTTTTCTTAAAGGGGTGCGAAAAATTGAAATGAAAGGATGAATGAAAGGAAAAAAGAAAAAAGAAAAACTGACAGGGTATTGGCATGGTGAATATCAGCTTCAAGCAGTTTCAGAGAGTCCTTGAAAGACCTTCCCATGGAAGCTATGTACATAACTCTCTCACAATTCCGAACAAGATTCTAAACCCAACTCCTAAACCAAAACCCACTACAAATTTTCATGCGCTCTCTCTCTCAACTCCACTATAGCCACGTTCACAGTGTCACACACACTCTTCTTCAAAGCCATCACCAAAACCTTTCGGTAGGACACGTGGCACAACTACCTCAAATATTATTCTTAGTTGTGTTATTATTATTGTTAATTTATTATTATATATTTACTAATTAAATAATTCTTATCCACTTTACCTTATTTGTTGGCTTTGATAGCTTTCCCTCTACGCACCACTGATGGCTACGCATCCCATCCCTTCCTCTTTCCCCCATTTATACATATTTATTTACATTTTTGCCACCACTTTTTTTTTAATTTTCTTTCCCTTTTTTTTCTTCTCTTTTCATGTTAATAATTTATACTTTTATGAGTTTCTCATGCATAAATTCCTTTTTAACAAGTAAAAATCCTAAGGTTTGAAGGTGGTCTTTCAAATTTATTATTAAAAATGTATGAATCTGACCTTAAGATAGAATTTTTTTTAATATTTTATCTAAACACGAGCTTACTCTTAAGTCTAAGTTTGTTTATTAATTAAACAGATCAATTTAATTAAATATTTATCAAGTTGAACTCAAATCATTCATAAGCAGTTTGACAGACAAAGTTATCTTTCAATGTGTAGACATATTGATGAATATTTTTTTAGTTTATTCAAACACACATATAGGTTTAAATTTAGTTCTGGAAAACTTTATTTTAAAAGGATTTAATTTTTTTATCATATATGATTATTAATCAAACATAATAATCATGTCATATAAAATAGCAAATAATCTTGACTTGTAAGTTCCAACCATTTAAACTCGTTAATCTTCGTCCGGGGCATTATGTTCATTCTCTCTGTACAAAAAGAAAATCGTAAATAAGTTGTAAAAGAAAATTCTATGTTTGTGGTTAAACAATGCTTGAAAGGTCTATGCTTTTATCTTCAAGAATTTATTTTTTAAAATTTAAAATTCTGTACATTAATTTATTCTTTTATCTTTAAAATTCTTAAAAAATAAAAAATGAAAGTCACATACTTGTACTTTTTTAAGAATCATATTTACTAATATAAAATTACAGAAGCTTCATCACTTGACAAAATTAATTTAGAAGTGTTTTTCTATGGCGCATTAAGTTAAAATTTAAAAGGATTAAATAAGATATTACTATTACTTTCCAATTTTCTTGAGGGCATTTTTGTAAGTCTGCCTGTTTCAAAAGGTCGCAATTGGCGTCTGTCTTTAATAATTTACCTTCTTGTTTTTCATTTTGGAGGATTGGAATGAAACAATTCATTTGTTCCCTTTTTTTAAGCTTTTGGGTTTTTATTTTATTTTTTCTGATTTGTAAATACCTTTTTAAACAATTTATGAACTTATATAAATAATTTTTGAAAGGCCACTTTTATGTTACAGGTTTCTTTATAATAGGTATATTACTTGTACAACTTTTAATTAAAGATTTTTTTAATCACCGTTTAACCCATTGATTATTATATCACATGCCTTTCTCTTTTTTTATTTTCATCTCTCTTTATTGTACAATAATAAATTGCATAAATTCATTTATTGTATATTATTGTGTATTACTTTAATATTTTTGACTAATTTCTATAGTACCATGTAAGTAATTTTATAGCGAGTATTTTTAAGCTATAATATCATGATTAGTCAGCCGGATATAATATTTAATTAAATACACGTAAATCAAGGAATACCAGTAGCAGATAGTTTTAAGGTGACGGTTCACGGTAGGATTATTCTGTAAACCGTTGGATATATTATTTTTGATAAAATGAGTGGTCGATATCAATTACTTGATATTGCTTGAACCCTAAGTTGATACTTTTAATGATGATCAAGCTATTTATCAAATTCTTGTAAATCCAAATACATTTGGTAATTAAAAATCTTTATATGTGATGTTTTTTTCATATGACCATGCTAATTTCATATATCGTGGTCATTTTGTATTCCTCTTCTTCAAAAAGAGGACACAAATATAATGAATTGACAATAATTAATACATAATATAACTACAAACTTTATTAGCTACTCATATCCGTTTATTGACTATCACGTGCTAGTTAATGATGATTTATCTACATTGAAAGGGACCAAAATTAGTATATATGTCTCCCATAGATCACTTTTGGATAATGAGATATTTTATTTTCAATATCCGGAAAACTTTGAAAAATAAAAGTGAGAAATACTATTTAAATTAACCTTTTAAAATCTAAATTAATCATAAATAAGTTTATTAAGTTATATTATAGTTTACAATATTCAATTTATTAAATAGAAAAAACACTTCATAAATGTTTATTACGAAAAATAACTTATATGACTTCATAAACTACATATGCGAAACAAATATAGTTTAATTTAAAAATATAGTCTTTAAAAATAATTACGAATAAAAACATTTAACTTTTGACATTACAGTTGATTATTTTGAGTTCCTAAGGACATCTTAACGGCTGACAATGAAAGTTGTAGAAATGATCTGATCTTTTAAAGTAATCTAAGCGATAAGACATAACGGGTTTTCCACACGGAGAAATAAAAGTAAATGAATCCGTGACCGAACATAGACATATATCATGTCAAAAATCAATAAAGATTTTTATTATTCGAATACAATCAATTAACTTTAAGAAAATATATAAATTTATAAACAGTAATTTTTGGATTTTTGCATGCGACCTCAAAAGAAGTCATTATTGTTTAATTCCCGAATGATTCATGATGATGGATAGAAATATAGAAAGAGAAAAGAAACATGTAGAGATTGATTACTAAATTAAACTATGTATGTATTAAATATGAAAGACTGAATTTGGGGAAAAAAATAAAAAGACGAATAGTAGATAATAATTAAAAAAATTGTCTGAAAAAGAATTAATAGAAAAGAAGACTTAAGATAAAAAGCATTATGAAAGTGTTATATTTTTGAAAGTTATGATTAGAAGCACATAATATCTAAGATTGAGATGAAGTGTTTTTGAAGGTAAGAGGGTGCAATAAGGTAGACATCATATTAAATTATTCGAAGCATAGACTATAGGATTAGAATGCAATCAAATCGTGCAAAAAGTAATTTTTGAGGAATGTCATAAATCTACACATGCTACAAAGATTGGCTCCATTCAATTCAAAAATAGTTGGTGGGATCCAACCCAACGCCATCACCAAATCTTATCGTACTACGACATACCCAAAAGTTTTACTGACTTATTTATTTAAATTTAAAATTTATTAAATTTTAAATATAAGATTAGGTTAATTTGATTATTTATCTTAATGTATCAGCTTATATTATCAAACGTTAAATTAGCATCGTACAAAATAAATTATAATTATAGCATTCAAATCACTTTAAAGGTAAAAGTCTCGTTTTCTATTATTATTTCTTTCAATTCAATATTATACTAATTAAAGAGAATAAAAATTAAGTTTAATATTCGGCTATAGTTTTGCTCTAGTTTAAGAGCATCTTTATCACAGGCTTAACACTCACCCGTACATGTATATACGGTATTTTGACTATATTTTTTCATTTGTTCCGTGGCAGTAACCTTGCTCTAACTAAGATAATATAAGTTTATAAAACCAAAATGTATAAAACCAAAATGTTCATTTGTTCCATTCAAAAAAGTTTATAAAACCAAAATGTTTACAGAAAAAAATTCACAAGAAAAAAATGCTAACAAAGTTACGTCAGTCCATAAACAAATTTTCAAAACAAAAAATCTATTTAAAATGAAAATGAAAAATTACTTAAAAAAATATTTATAAATGCGGAAATTTGATCCAAATACAAATATAATAGATACAAATTCAGATATAGATTATCTTAGATAGATTAACATCATATTAAGTTGATTTATATAAGTTAAGGTTAGATTAAGTTATTTTAAGTTTAAATTAAGTTGAGATGAATTAAATCCAAGTCCAGACGAGTTAGACATGACCTAAATGTGTTGAGTTAGGTTAAGTATAGATTGAAACAAGTAAGATCAAATTGAAATTAAGTGAGGCTAAGTCTAATTTTGGATAGGTAAGATTGAGCAGATTATACCTTAGGTTGAGTTGATTTAGGTACACCATTGACCAAGTTAAGTAAACTCTACATCATGTTGAGTGGGTCCACATTAAACCAAGTCAAGTCAAACCCTCGTTGAACTTAGTGGAGTTGGGTCCATGTTAAGGCAAGTAGATTCTGATTCACGATGAATCAAGTTTAGTCAAGTCTACTTTGAACTAAGTTTATTTGGACTCATGTGAGGTTGAATCAAGTTAAACTCATATCAAATTGAGTTGACGTAAAACCACATATAATTAATTCAATCCATACCACATCAAGTCGAGTTAAGTTAGGCCTAGATTGTACCAAGTTTTGTTTAACCTAAGTTAAGACAAGTTTAATCGCGGCCACATCGAGATATAGTCAAGTCAAATTTATTTCATGTTGAGTTGAGTCAAACTCACATGAAACTTATTTGAGTCACACCCAATAAGGACAATTTATGTTGACCTACAGTAGGTTTAATAAAGTTGGAACAACGTTAAACGTATTGGATTTGGTATCATGTCATATATAATCGAGTCGACTCACACTAGATCAATTTAAGTTGGATCCACCTTCGACTAAGTTGAGTTATCCCATTTTGAACTGTGTCAAGTTGAGTTAATCTCAAATCAAGTTGAGTTAGACACATGTTAGATTAAGTTGTGTCATGTCCACATTAGATCGAGTTAATTGATGTTATATTGAGTCATGTTCAAGTAAAACAATATTAATTTAGATTTACATATGGTTTACCAAGATTGGACTTGTATTAAACAAAATTAAAATGACTTATTCAAATAAGTTGGACTGATTATCCAACTTGCTAGTTAAGTTATAAAAAATAAAAAATAATTAATTATATTTATAGTCAATGATCAATTTATAGTTTAAAATATTCTAAAAAAAGTATAGATTTCAAAAATATCATGGGCTTATCATAATAATTGTGTTGAGACTAATAAAGGAATTCTAAATTAATTTGACCACTCAAAATTATTTTCTTTTGTG